CTCAGCACCTTCTGTGTAATGTCCCTTAGCCCAGTTGTTTCCGGCGCCGCTCTGTCCGAACACAAAGTTGTCGGGTCTGAAAATCTGGCCGAATGGTCCAGATCGTACGGAGTCCATGGTTCCAGGCTCCAGATCAACGAGGACGGCACGGGGCACATATTTACCTCCTGTGAAATACAATCAATGGCCATACATAAGAAGAGTTTTTTTTCGTCATTATGTGACATTTTAATCAATGTAAATAACGACTATAAGCCGGAATTGAGTTTTGCGGATTCAACTAGTTAACTTAAATGTATATGAATACTTGATAAACTTGTTATCTGTTAGCATACTTGATGCTATTTAGTGTATATTTCTATAGTAAAAGGTAAATCATAATGACGTGTTTCTAGCGACCGTACCTGTAGCCTCGTTGTAGTAGACGTTGATCCTCTCGAGCTGAAGATCGGAATCCCCGTGGTAAGTTCCGGTGGGGTCAATGCCATGCTCGTCGGAGATGACCTCCCAGAACTGGAACAGAAAATGGTCGTTACATATTATTATCACATAATTAATAAACAAACAAAAACATATCTAAATTGTCTTCAACGATGTTCTCATTAATTCTAGAGATTATAATGTATGTGTTTCAGTTCGTTCTCCACCAGTGTTGAGACATTTAAAAGCCGCGTGACCACTGGTATCGAATGTCGGACCCGCCATTATCGTCACGAATGAACTAAACAGCGTTATAATCAAAATAAATAATGCCAGAAAAAATGAGCCCATCCTTGTGGAGTCACAAGTATATTATACACACGCGTATAACAATGATGTACAATAGTGGCGTTAAGGTTAAATAGCCGCTGATCGCGAGCGGCCTTATTAGATATATGGGGGTATTAGATGACACGAAACAGGTGCACCTGGGTTGTCATGTTCAAATTACACACACGGTTTTGGATATCAACTGATCAAGCTGATAATCAATAATCAATATTGGTGTATTGTCTACAGCCTTATAATGTTTGAGGATATATATTAACTACTGACTATAGTAACAAAATCGATATCGATTCAAAGACATTTTTTTAATATCTAGCAAAGATAATGTCACTTAAAAAAAATTATTTCCAGTATAATCTTTATTTTCTCATATATTTATCAAAATAATGCGTCGTTATGTAAAAACATGAAAGAAATTAAAATTCATGTAAGAATATTTTTGAAATCCGAATAAGGATGGACCTACGTATTTTTGAAGGTTAACTGGTATGGACTGAAATATGATAAGACACAAGACAAAAAGACACAACGCTGATACTTGGCGAAAATATCAAATGCTATACTCAGAGTACATGTACCGATCCCCGGGGGTGTCCGGCCCGACCCAGGGGAGGACGTAACATAAAATGTACTCACCTTGGCTCCGATCTGGTTGCCGCACTGGCCAGCCTGAATGTGTACGATTTCCCTCATGTTTGTAGTTGTGTGTGTTCGGGACGATTGTGTATCTGTGTGTCTCCCGGGGAGTCTGCAGGCCCTTATATAGCTCGAAGATTTACCCGATAACCCCGATATTGGGGCCAATCAGCGTCGTCGATGATCCCCCCAGATAACACTTGTGTGGAACGCACTGCCCCAACAATACCACTGTCTTAAGTTTTGTCTTACTCTGCACAAAAAATATGTGTGTTTGATTATTAGACTATGTAAATACACCGCAGAACAATTAGTGCTGGTCGTCAAGAAACAGACATAGTTAAACAGATCACATTGGCGATATAGGACACAGATCGGTGACTTTAAGAAACAATGCTCACAAAAATTAACTGTTTTATTCGCACATATTATAAACTCATCTAGCAACACGCTTTTCCCACCCAAACATGTGTCAACAGCTGTCAGCGGTGTCAATACAATAAACAACTTCACCGCTCGGATTGGCTTAACGAGTGTAATGTTTGCTGTTGTAACAAAGATAGTAACGTTCATGTCATACTCGGACATATCTATAAATAACAAACCCCAGATCGATCGCCAAACATGGTCATTTATCACAATTACGCTTTCTCATTATTTGCATTCTGAAGAAATTTCGGTTTTATGTTAACTTACCGTGCCATTCTTTTCTAACGTTAAGTATATCTCTCTAAACAATCTATGGAAATCTCGGTGATAAGATTCATGTTTACATGCCCGTGCAATTAAGTGTGTTGTCTTTTAACTCTTTTAAGTTCAAATTTTCAAAAAGTAAAATACCTGTCCACCGCTTTCTCCCTTGCGCTTTCAATATTTGTTTTTAAAGAGAACTAATTATGTTTGAAAAGATACTACGACACTTTTATAGAAACAAGGGTTCCCAGTGACAGATAATTTTAGGTGTTTGTAATTTATCTACACAATACTGGTATAAAGTTAACTTTAACCTGTTGACAGATCACTTGACGAGACGTTAGATGTTTCTAGCATTACTCAGAGTAAACACAACAAATCGAAACAGATCCTATAATTATATTGATATACGTTTGAATAGAATATTCAAAAACTGAAACGCTTAGAACAGTGCCACGTCGGAATTGTCGAAATTTCACATGCTAATCGAGAACGTATGATTGAAAATGTCTTATAACGAACTTTTGGTTCTCTCGTACTTTACAGAAGCAACCCCGTATTTGAAAGGGAGAAGGGACATATTAATAGATTCTTTCTCTACCTTGATGTAAGACAACCCCCTTTCCCCATTTAGAGGATATTATTACTATTGACTGTCTTACCAGGGGCTGCTTCCGTCAATGGTTAGACTGTCAAGAATTTCTTGAAATGGTTGAAATTTATCTTTCCCATCCTCAATTTAAAGAATGACTCTGATTTTCTGACCATTCCCAGAATTATCTCCCGTTTTATCTGTCAAAGATTCTTTTGTTACTTGAAGCAAGCCTTGGGTTAGACAATCAAGAATATCACCCCAAGAATTGAGATTTCGCTATCATATCCCCACGGAGGGAGAAGATTCTGTTATTCCCTCGCCTGTCTTGAAAACCAAATTAATGGAAACAACGATATACACGTTCGTTTTGCAAATCGGAGACGATTTGTTTTATCTTAGTGTGCACGTTTACACAATCCCAGTGCTATTAGAATTATGATTATGTAGAAATTCATTCATCTCCTAGAAGAGAAAAAAATAGTTATTTACAATTTCACTAAGCAGTAATATACAGTACTGTACATGTACCACATGTATAACTTCAAGTTTAGAACGCGCGTATATGTTTTGCTGATTATCCAGCCTGGAAAATAAGTAATATCTCTCCTTGACCAGAAGTATGGATATTTGCCCAATGGAAAGGCAAAAACTGTTGATACCTATCATGGGAGGGACAGTCCACACCCGATATTATTCTGAAAACGTCTTGATCAATTTTTTCACACATTCCATGCGCTATGATGCTGGCGCGATGTATTGAATTCCCCATTTCAATTTATTGGGGGTGAGATAGGGGAATCTCAACCCGAGGGTGAAGATTCTT